GAATATGAACTGATATGCATAGAATTTAGAATATAAATTCATACTGCAAATTTCAGATTGTCTACGCATGGACTTGAACCGGATTTTTCGGTATTTTTATCGGAAAGAGAATATTTACCGATAACGTCATTCTTAAAAAAAAATTGTAAAAATCGACAAGAATTATTAATTATTTCTTTACCTGAAATCTACATTTATTGTTCCTAAAGGAACGTCTATCCATATATTGAATTCGAATAATTATTATTCCACCTTCTCAGAACAAGAGGTATGCCAGCTAAGCTAATCGACAAAAACATCTGGGCTCTTAACGAATTTGTTACATCAACATATACAGTACAAAGACAAAACTATATTATGCTAAAATGATTCATTTTGAACAACCCACTGACTAAAGGGACATGCCTGGTTTTGATCGATTTTATAGAGAATATTTCGTCTGGGGACATCTCTCCATTTGTTAGGAGTGATATTTACGATTTATTTACTATAGAGCAAGTTGCATTTCTATCTTAAAAATAGACTTTATCCAAGATCGTACACCAGATTCCGTATTCAGCTCGAACCCAAGGTGGACATATTCTATTTTGCAGGGACGCTCCTCATTTACCTAGTATGTAACGTTTTAATGGAAAAAATACCTCACAAAAAGCAACAGTACCTCCATTCATATCCCACCACACGGCCAGCGCAGCGAAACGCAAAAAGCTTACGTCTGTGCGGAAAGGGTGTCGCATATTTTTTTAATTAATCGCGGCAGTGAACAGAAAAAAGCCGTCGGGATAGGGCAGAAGTAGGAGCATCGCCGTAAATTGAACATGAACACCTGAACGCCACATGAAAGCAAACGGTTCCCGAGCTAAATTAATTCTGTCAGGTACAGGGAGAGCAGTCGCGCCGTTTGCCGGCTGGGGCTGCTCAAGCGACGGCGACGGAGGCCACAGACCAAGGCATGTTTCAAGCTAGATTGATCAAGCAGATAGAGGGTTCTTTAAATACGTACGCAGGAATAACATTGTCTGCTACAGGGTATCTCAGGCTAGATGAAGGGCGTAATGGGTAATGGCGGAATTTGTCCTAAATGTTGCAACACCGCCGCTACAAGAATCCGGCAAGAGTTCTACTTCGGCGACCTTCCTGAGAATGCACTGGAAAGAACGAGAATAACTTTTTTTATATACTGACTTTTAAGTTGAGTCATTAATTTTCAGATAATGATTGTAGAAGGAAGATAAACCAAAATATGTGTGTAAAAATAAAAAATAAATAAAAAAAAAATGTTACCTTGTTTTAAAAGTATCTTTGTGGCAACGGTTTAGGAGGAGTGGCCATTCACAAGATTACGTGTCTCATCGATCCTTTTCTAACCTCCTATCTAGAACGTTACATAATGCCAAACATACTTATGAACGAAAACTCGTTACCTCCAAAAATAAGAAGAAGCTATTTCGGTATCTAAGAACAAACCTGAATTCCAAAGTTTCATCACCTCAGATCCGCGACGCTGATGGTCATCTCCACATGGATGCCACCGAATCTGCCAACTTACTGGCAGAGTCCTTTAGTGATGACTTCGTCGATGCGCCTAATGGAGACCTTCTACCGACCACTATCTGCCATAGGTGTCCCAACAGCCTTTGCGAAGTTGAGTTCCTGCCTGAAGATGTATTAATGCACCTGCGAAATCTGAAGACCTCTTCCTCCCCTGGTAAAGATGGGATGACGGCTGCTGTACTTAAAAACTGCGCTTCAGCACTGGCCCTACCATTAAGCTTGATATTCACATCGTCTTTTAGATCTCATACCCTACCCTCATGCTGGCTTAGCGCTTCTGTTACCCCTGTATTCAAAAAGGGCGACAAATCCTCCGCTAAAAATTATCGACCAATAAGTCTCGTTCCTATCGCCGCCAAAATAGCTGAAAGAATCATATTAGATAAGCACCTGTCATTTGCTTTCGAAAATGACCTTATCCCTAAGAATCAGCATGGATTTCTCCCTGGTCGATCAATAATGACCAACCTTCTCCACTCTCTCAACGATTGGACTCAGTATCTGGACACAAAGACTCCTGTTGATATAATCTACTTAGATTTTTCTAGGGCTTTCGATCGCGTACCACATAGAAGGCTTCTGCTTAAGTTGGAATGTATGGGAATAAGAGGCGAGTTGTTACTGTGGATTAAGGCTTTTCTCACCGGGAGGACTTTCTCTGTGCGCGTCAGTGATAGCCAGTCTCACCTTCATCATGTAGCAAGTGGAGTTCCTCAAGGCTCTGTCTTGGGGCCAGTGCTGTTCCTTCTGTATACAAGTGACCTGCCCGCATTGATTTCCTCCACATGTTCAGCTTATGCCGACGACACCAAGATTCACAATACTGTCGTAAATTCTGCTAAGCTTCAACGAGATCTTGATATTGTTTGTCAATGGTCAGTCAGTTGGCTTTTACCCTTAAATCTAACTAAGTGTTTTGTCCTTCACCTCGGGAAGACAAATCCGCGATTTACATACAAGATCTCTGACCACAACATCGAAGCAGTTTCCAGCCACACTGATCTGGGCGTTGTAGTCAACGATCGTCTTTCCTGGTCAGAGCATATTCACCACGTTACATCAAAAGCCAAGAAACTTCTATACATGCTGGAGAGGTCTTTCAAAGGATCCGATGTCAACACTTGCGCCTACATTTACAAGGCATTCGTGAGGCCAATTCTTGAATTCGCTGGCCCGGTATGGGACACTGTGCTTCTGCGCGATAGAAATCTCGTCGAATCAGTACAGCGTCGGGCTACTCGTATCCCTTTTGGAGCACGAAGACCAAGCTATGAAGATCGCCTTGAATTATTCAACCTGACCTCATTCTCTGAGCGAAGACTTCGTGGCGATCTTATAGTTACGTTCAGGATACTTCATGGTTTGATGGGCACCAACCTCATGCATCTATACCGTCTGTCGCGCAGCAATCTACGCGGACACAGCTTCAAACTGCATAAGGAGCCATTTAAAACAACAGTCCGACAGTGGTTTCTTCCCAACCGCATATTCAACACCTGGAATAGTTTACCTGAAATTTTGGTTGGTGCTACTTCAGTTAATAGCTTCAAAGTGCAGTATGATAGCTGGAGGAGTGTACAAACTTTATAGCTATGAACTGTCTTTTTTTATTTTTTTCTATTTGATGTATTTGTGTTACGTGTCCGTACACTATATTTACTGCATGAACTTATAGTACTGTGTACTCTGCTCATCTCAATTATCGTAATAATAATAATAATAATCCTCCCGACAAGTATTTCAGTGCGGACCTGTATTTGATCGTGAGATCTTGGAGCACCGGCATGCCGTCCATATGTGAGGTCTTAAGTCAAATGGTTCACGAACCCGTTGTACTACATTAACAAAGGCACGAGGGGTTGGTTGCACTCGATTGGGAAACCGATCTGCATAAACATGTGCCATTTTTTATTTCGTTTGAGCCACGCAACAGACACCACTATCCACTACCGACTGACACTGACTGTATACAACTGAATGAAATAGTTGTAAAAACATCGTTCCAAATTCTTTCGCTTTTTTGTTTTCGATGCGATGAACCGATAAGGCGGATTATATCCGTTGTCGCCAAACACGAGCACATAATATTATTATTGAGACAGGGCGGTACTCAAACTTCCAAAGGGCTATAACTTTGTTACTTTAATTTTACCAGAAAAATGGTAAAGGAAAAAAACATTTCTTTTGATCAGATCTACTCACTGTTAAAATAAATGACTCAACTTCGAAGTCACCCTGTATATACTCCAACTACCACGAAGGCCTAAGGCCTAAACACCCATTGGGTACCGTGGGGCGATAGGGGATACAGGGGAAAGGGGGAACGCCACACAGACTCGGGCGAGGGAATACGTGTGCATGCAACATGCACACATTCTGGCTCCGCCTACGAGATCTGCCGGGTGGTACCTCCGCGTTCGACAGTCAGAGACCGTCTACCATCTACGGACAATGACGACATCCATAGCCAAGAGAAAAATTTCTCCTGGGACGGGATTCGAACCCGCACAGCGCACGGCGACTGATCAGGAGACTGAAGAGTCTACTACTGCGGCCACTTCTGCAGATATAAAAAGGTTGCAGTCACGGAAGTACGAGTGCAGTCGAACGGGCAGTTTTGTGAACTCTGACGAAACGCCAGACGAGCAAACAACTACTGCTTCTTCTTCGGTTCCCGATTTGGGTCCAGCACAGGGTGGCGATATTGAAAGTTATAGTGAGGTACCTTCTCGCTACAATAAAAGTAATGAGAAAATAGACAAGCATGATGGAAAAAAGGAAAGAAACGAAAATACGACACTGACTATTTGCAAATGGGTTTTTATTTCACCGGGGAAAAGGCAGAACCTAAACCGCTTTGTGTAATTTGTAATAAAGTCCTGGCCAACAGTAGCTTAAAACCATCGCTTCTTCGTCGGCACCTTGAGACAAGACAACCAGCTTACAACGATAAACCTATTGAATCTTTTAACAGGAAATTGGAAGGTAATAAGAACTTTAGTGTTTCTTCTTTCTTGTCGGGTTCCACGCAGATAGTAAAATGGCCCTTGAAGTATCATTTCGAGTTAGTTACAAAATCGCAAGATCTGGAAAAGATCATACAGTGGCAGAAAGTTTGATACAACCTTGTACTAAAGACATCGCAATGTGTATGCTTGCAGAAAAAGCGGTAAAAAATTTGGCCTAGTGAACTTATCAAACAAGACTTTGGAAAAGAATGGAATTGAATTATTTTGCAATTCAGCTGGATGAGTTGACCGATGTAGCAAACTGTGCATGTTAGATATATTTTAATGAATTCCATTCAAGAAGATGTGTTATTTGCAAAACTACAGGAAACTTATATGACTGGTGCAGCAAATTTTAATCCGATCAGTGACTATTTTGAAAAACATGAAAATAACTGGTCATTTTGCTTAGGTGTATGCACAGATGGTTGAAAATCAATGACTGAAACATATTCTGGTCTTGAAGATCAACGAGAATATAGAACGGACTATATTCATAGGCAACCGTTGGCATGTAAGCGTATTCCTGCATAGTTAGCCAGTACTCTAAGCGAAGCTGTAAAAGTTGTAAATTTTATGAAGTCCCGTGCTACAAATTCTCGTTTGTTCCGTGAACTTTGTGAATACTTGGCAAGTCTTCACGTCTCTTTATTACTTCATACAGAAGTTAGTTGGCTTTCTCGTTGCAAAGTTTTGACCCGCTTGTTTGAATTGAAGTCTGAAGTTCAGGCATTTCTTCTTGACCATCCATTTCATTTGTCCGTTTCTGTATCCGACATTCTGTGGATCCAAACACTTGCATACTTAGCCGATATTTTTTCTGAATTAAATGAACTAAGCATGTCTTTACAAAGTCCAGGAATCACCATTTTCAATGTTCATGATAGAACAGAAGCCATGCTAAAGAAAGCCAACTTTTGGAAGCAATGTCTGCAGATGAATGAGTAAGATTGTTTTGGTTCTCTCAGCAGCTTTTTATCAGAGAATAAAATTCAACTTAACGAAGACATTAAAAGAGATATTACTGATCATCTCAAACAGCTTCAGTCAACATTCAAAAAGTATTTTCCTAATAAACCTGGATCAAACAACTGACACGCTTCTTTATCTTTATTGGAAAAAGAAAAGCTCATTGATGTATCCTCTGACAATCCTCTAAAAACTGTTTTTGCAGATCATCCTTTAATAGACTTCTGACTCAATGTAAGAAATGACCCTATCTTAGCAGAAAAAACCATGAAAATTTTGTAACCGTTCTGCACAACATAGTGTGAGAAAGGATTTTCAAAATATACTTGAGTACATAGATAAGTACAGAAGTAGATTAAATGCAGAACCCGATCTAAGGCATCCCACAAACCGGCGCGAAATATTCGTTTTGGCTGCGAAAATTTCGCGGCGATGAATTCGCGATCAGATTAAAACGCGGCGGTTTACGGACAGGCTCAGACTTGTGCGAAGCGAATGCGATTGTTCCAGCGTTTTTATCGCGGCGTATTTCAGTTCGCCTTTGACCGTGTTTTTGACGCCGTTCTTCAAAAATTCGCAATGGCAAAAACGGAATTATTGATACAAATAGTGAAAAAGTATCCTTGTTTGTATGATTTGTCGAACGATGAATACAGGAATGTGAGAAAGAAAGACAAGATTTGGATGGAATAGGAAAAGAATTAAATACAAATGGTATGTACCTAATATTTTTTATTAACTTGTTAAATAATTTACAGTCTACACAAATGTGAAAACGAACATTCTATATATTGGGCATAGGCATATCAGAATTAAAATAATTTACGAATTTGTCACGAGTAGAAAATGCTAGCCTTGCTGCCCGCCGAGGATCATTTGCTATATCAGTAAAAGCTCCAAGCACGGGTTCTGGGGGATCTAAGAATTGAGAATATTTGTCATCGCCACTTTTACTTCGTAAAAAATTGTGCAAAACACATGCCGTACGTACAATTAGAATAGTAGTATCTACTTTAGTTTCTAATGGCCTGTAAAATATTCGCCATTTTTGAGACAAAATACCAAACGCATTTTCCACGACCCTGCTAGCTCGACAAAGTCTTACATTGTATTTCTCTTTTCTGACGTCTGTTAAAGTCTGCTTATAAGAAAATGGTCTCATAAGGTATGGTTTTAAAGCAAATGCTTCATCACCAACTAAGACGTACGAGCAGATTTCATTTTGCCCAGGGAGAAATCTAGGTGCAGGGACACTCATTAGATTTTGTTCAAATCGTTTTCCCATGTTTGAGGTTTCGAAAATACCCCCATCACTATTTTTTCCGAAACCACCAACATCAACACATATAAATTTATAGTCCGGGCCAACAATGGCCATAAGTACTATTGAATATTTATGTAAATAGCACCAGTAATTGGAGCCACTGTTGTTAGGTCTCTTGATTGTTACATGTTTACCGTCCACGCTGCCAATGCAATTGGGAAATCCCCATCTATTTTCAAATTCTTCAGCACATTTTTTCCATATATTCTCTGTTGGTTCTGGTAAATATATTTGCTCCATATGTCGGCATATCGCTTCACAGACTTCGGTTACGATTGCACTCACTGTTGTAAAGCCAACTCGAAAGCTATGCCCAATGGTATAGAAGGTGTCACCAGTGGCAAGGAATCTATAAAAAAAATCGTTTTTAGGTGATGAAGTAAAAAAAAGGTGGAAGAATATCAGAGACACATTTGCAAAATATATAAAATCTACCAAACCAAAGACCGGCCAAGCAGTGGGCAACATAAAAAAATGGCAGTGGGCTGACTACATGGAATTTTTCCGTCCTTTTTTGGCATTTGCCAAAACGTCGTCTAATGTGAAAGATATTGACGTCATACATTATGAGACTGTCGAATTTAACTCAAATATATATCAGGAAAGGGCTGGAAATGTAGAAACCGAAAATTTGGAAGACCGCGGCCATGGAGAAGTTGAAAATGCTGATGTAGATGCAGAAGATGCACAGAACGCCTCGGCAACACAGACAGCACCACCTTCTTCATTGAACACTACAGCAGTGACTACTCCAGGGCACACCTTTCCGCAGACTGCAACTACACCAAAATATAAAACGAGCAGAAAACGCTATGAACCACCATCTTCGTCTGTACAACAGCTCATTAATTATTTTGAAGGTAAAAAACCTAAAAAAGAGAACGAGGCCATTGATTCACTTTTTTTGGCACATGCACAGACTGTGAAAATACTTCCCTTAAAGCGTCAACCCCGAATAAAACTAAAAATAGCCTAATTAATAGCGCACGAAGAATTTGAACATATTGAAGGAATGTCTTCAGCGTCTACCCAGAATTCTGCAAGTATGTATGATAGTAGTATGTCGTCCTTCCCAAGCGGCACTGGGTTTACTCCAATAATATACCCAACAGAGGAGGCAAATTCTGCTTCGAATTATTTAGCAACATTTAATCCTAGTGGCAACATGTAGTCCAATTATTACAATATAATATTTATTTCACAATCCCTGAAGTTTTCGTATTCGATAAGCCTACTAATTTTAATACATATATTTTTTTTACCTGAGTGTAATAGCAAGTCGTTCTTCTGGCGAAATAGCTTCACGATAATTTGTGTCGGATTTTCGTATTTCATCTTTCACCAAGTTCAATATTTCATCGAAATACTCTGGAGTCATTCTAAAATATACGTAAAAGCGCTGTTCATCCAGCCGAAGTTGTGGCATCAAGGTATGGTATTCCCCAAATTTATTTCGTTCCAAGTTGATATCATGTACCCACTTCCTTCGTTTCCTAAACAAAATTGAAAATATTTGTTTTATGTACTTCGTTAAACTTAGTACATACCCAACTATCAAATGGCGTTAAATAAACATAACTTACCGTGCATTTTGTTCCTCTTCTAAAGCAAGAAATAGAAGTGCCTCCTCTTCTTCTGAAGACGAGCTCATTGCAAAAGGCAAAAATAAAATGTACGCAACCTGTCGAAACCTTCACGTTCGCGGAGCGAATAAGACGCTTTGGTATGAATAAACAGGCGAAACAGATTACGAATTTCGCTCTGAATTTCGTTGCGAATACTTCGCCGCGATTATTTCGCGCCGGTTTGTGGGATGCTTAAGACTTAAGCTTTCAGACATTGAACCAAATTTTGAATTTCTTTGTTCCAACAAACAGGCACAAATATCCCATTGAGGATTTTTGCAAGTATCGAATTACTTGTATTCATATTATATTAATCCTCTTTTTGTAAGGCTTAATTAGTTTTAATAAGGTTTTTCTGAATGTTTTACTGTACAGTTATGTTTTAATTTACTTTGCTCATTATAACTATTACTAGTACTATTTTATTTACTCTCACTAACGATTGCTCAGGGGGTACGCCGATATATTCCAATTTTTATAAGAGGTTCGCAGAAAGAAAAAGGTTGGCAACCGCTAGTCTATTAGAAGGAGCATAGCAAAGACGAATGCTGTCTGGTATAAGTTCTAATGCAACGCTACCCACCTTAACGAAATGCTGCAAGAACTACATCACGATAAGGTTTATAGTAGACGTGTCCGAAGACGAAATATTGTGGATGTTATCTATACCTTGCAGTGCAGGTCGGATTTTGATGAAATTTGTCAAGACCATTTCAAGGTCCAACCTAGACATAGAAAACAATTTGCTCTAGCAAAAATGTTCGACAGCACAGTCATAGGACTTGTGGGGATCACCCAAACGTGTCGTTGACCGTCACCTCGAATATGACCTTCAAGGTCAAATTTTCTGAAAGTGACATGTCTTTTTTATACTAGAAATGTAAAAGGCAAGAAATGTTACGTCCTTGACCTCAAAGCCAAAATTGCGTCAAGTTTAAATGCTATTTGAGGTCAAGGTCACTTTCAAAAGTAAAGTTTGCTGCTTTTTCCACGTCCAGTATAAGAATGAGTTTCCTTTGGAAATTTTGACTGGTATATGAAGGTAATGATCAAGGTCATTGTCAAGGTCACATTTGAGTGATTCCTACAAACCTCACAACTGTGTTGTCGAAAATTTTTGCTGGAACAAGTGTACGATTTAACCTTGGAATGGCTTCAGAAGTAATGGTCAAGGTCATGGCCAACGTGTTTAGGCGTAATTTTTGTTCGTCTTTTCAATCCCGATGTGAAAAGTGAGGGTTTCATTCGGTAATGTAGTTAAAGGCATTGTCAAGCTCACCATCATGTTTAAAACTTTTTTATAGAATGCGAGTTTTCTAAATATTTCGATGGGGAGATTGAAATGGGACACCGTGTACATCGTTATCATTTTTTAGTAATATTATGTAAAGTCTTCTTTTTAGGTGCCTCATTAATTGCAGGTTCCCTAAACACTCTGCGTTTGACCTGTCACTGAAGCACGCGTAAGACGATATGCAACATGAGTTATACCATTGAGCATTCTTTTTCTGCCGAGTGGTATTCAAAGCCTGCAGGAGGCCGTTAAGTTTATTAAAATTCCAGCTTCGTTTCGGCCGTCAACACCAGTAGCGATGACAAATGGCGATCGAGCTGCTGGCTATTCGCTGGTGTCATTATCATAAACGTTCCCCGGCTCTTCCCCCATTCCAGGCTGTCACTCAAGTGAGATTCTCTCGACGAAATTAAAAATAATCACTCACTCTTTCAGGGACGAAATAAGGAAGTTATTAGTATGAATATAGTATTTCATCCGTTCGACGTTTTCAGTGTACAATCAAATTTTCAAGTTGACATCTGAGTTGATATTCAAGATAGTTACATTGGTGTATTTGTACCGAGCGGGACGCGGGCAAGCTCTCAACCTAGATCTATCGGTTAAAAAAGTTCAAACAAATATAGCTGAGAGAAATTGCTGGAAATAATCTTCAGCTTCCTGGAATGATGTCGACCTGATTTTAAAAAATTCAAGCGCCACTACTTTGCAAAACTTCATATTTAACATACCATTAAATATCCTTATCATTTCCGAACTTTTTGTGGCTTTTTCTCATATTTTGGATAGCGGTAAGGTGGGGGCATGGTTGAATGTCATTTCAGAAAAAGTCATAAGTTTGTGGCCTCTAGATGGCACTTTGTGGATATGTCATTTTTCGGTT